TGTTACAATCATGTAATCCAGAGCCATTTCTGTAGTAACGCTGCTATAGGCTTAGACTGCTGAGGGACATGATGATCACCTTTTTTCCCCCTCTTTAACTATCTCCTAGTACTGTCTAATTAACTACCATCAGTTACGTCAAAGATTAACTTTAAATTCTCACTTTGGGTTTCTTCATTTGTCCAATCAGGTTATTATTTTTACGAAACCTTTTTAGAGGGGGCCATCTATTACTGAGATTACCTCATGCTTTCTAGCTGTAGACGATGCCCTTGACCCTGGAATTTTTGTGTTTAATCCTGTGTCTCTCTCCTTCAGAGCAAATGATAAAGCTGTTCCTGTCACTGTTTGGATCTTTATACAGGTGCTGTGCTTCATCTTTGTAATTCTACTCACCAGAGCGCTTTAGAAAACCTCAGAGGCCTTCGCAGAACTGCTTGGTTTATACTGATAATAAATAACACTGAGAATTTCTCTGTATTTACTAAAAATTTAATCTGAAGCAAACTAGTTCCAGTGGATCTAATTTAGTAGTATCTAGAAAAGGTTGACTACAAATTTAACTTTTAAGGTTTTTATTTTAGAATTATGGACAACTTTACTTAAGCCTTTAACATAAAATACAACACATTGATATAAGAGATAAACAGAGATTATAAAAGACAGAAATGTCCTAAATATCAACAAAAAGTTTGATTAATAAAATTGAGAGATTTCAAATCCCACATAATTTATTCCCAAATCCAAGGTCACGTCACACTTGGTTGTAAATAACCCCAGGATATGCTGCAAGTCTTTGAAGGAGAAAGCCAGTAGAATGTAATCTGCACAAAACATCTGCTGGTTTCCAAACCAGGCCCCAGTCGAGCAATTGCTTGCACCTAGAAGTCCATTTGAATTGTGAACAGGATTGGTGACAGAAGGTTAAAAAGCTCAACATGCACTGGAAAACGGTCCGACTGAATAGTGGCAATATGGACCAGACTTCTTTTCTGCTTTCACAGAGACCAGATGGCCTCAAGTAAAGGACCATCTTCTACTCCATATGCCTGGAGCATTCCTCACAGACCACCATAAGAAAAACCAGCCTTTTCCACGTCCACATAGCACATTTGGACCAGTTAGGCAAACTCCTGTGAGCTCTATAGCACCCACCAGGGGGTGTAGAGCTGGTCCACTGTTCCACTGCTCGTCCTGAAGCTGAGGCTCTACAATAACCCGGACTCTCCTCTCCAGTACACTGGCATAGGCCTTCTCAGGTAGTCTGGGAACTATGGTCCCCCTCATTGTTAGAACACATCCTTATTCCTGTGAAGTGGAAGCTGCACCTCAATCTGCCAATTCAGAGGGAATTTTCCCTGACCACCACACAATATTGAAGAGGCATATCAACCGAGGCGCTCAACAACATTCAGAGAACCATGGTACTTGTAAACTACTGTCAAAATAATTAAGAAAATCCTGAGAAGAGCATTTCATTCTGGGAAACTGAACAGAATGGATTGAATAATTTTGAAGGGCAACAGTCCTAAACATGCAGTTTAAGAGCTCTTAAAGGTGAAGTGCTCTGTCAATCACTGCAGCTCAGTCCAGCTTAGTAGTAATTCATTGGCTGGAGAATGGGGATAAAAGTGTGACAATGTATTCATTTGCTTGAGGTGGTATAGCATCTTAAAAAATGATTTATTGTGAGTTCTGATGGAAGATTTAAATATGATCCAATAAAGTTACAGATCTAGAATATAAAAAAACACAGAGATGAGCCTTTGTCAGATACTTCATGAACCATTCTGGAAACCAGTTTTTTATCCACAAAATCCATCTTGAATATAATGCTTTGATTGTTTGCTAGGTTGGACAAGTGATCTCTTTTTATTACAACTAAATAGATCACTGATCTGTATTTATTCAGAATAAATACAGATTAGTGGGTTTTAATCATCTAACATGGACGCGCTTGACGTCACATCCGCAAAAGTAAATTCAGGGAAAATAGACAATAGGTTTATAGAAGCATTGGCGCTGAAACACTGAGGTGTCAGTCTGCTCATCAAACGATGTTTTAATCATAGAGGATTAGATAAAAAAGGCTATTTTAAAGATAATTTTCATTAAAATCTTACAACAAAGGTAGTTTTTCAGACTCTTCCATGACACCACTGCAAAATGAATCGGCCTACTGCATGACTCAAGCAGGGGCTGTGGTGAAATAAAAAAAACGGAAGAAAATATCAGTGGTTTTTAGGAGTTAGATGGTGATGACCCTTGATAATTGATCTTTTTGGAAATTGAAGCTTTCAACATGGGGACGCTCCTTGTAAATATTGAGAGCAGTTGTAATTTGGGTTTCCATTTAAATGAACTTTTTCTCCACATTTATTGTATTTCACAGAACCCCTATATTTTTTTTGCTCTACATCATGGATATGTTTTCATACAGATAATGTACTGTAGGCTATTTCAGGAAAAAGTTTTAAGTTATTAAGTAAAAAAAAATTAGTAATCTCTGAAAGACTTACAGAAATAATTATGTTTGGCCTGGAGGCCCAAAATTTAATAAATCCATAACTTAATAAAAATCCATAATTAAAAGAGCCTTTGGAAAAGACCTTTAACGTATAATTGATGTGTTCATGTAGGTATTTTTGCAGGTTATTCAGGTTAAAGAGGTAGGAGAGATGCAGAGGACACATAAAAAGAATATTTTTTTGACAATTTTTTGCCTACAGCTCTGAGCTGTAGGAGTCGCTACTTAGCCTTATATTATGTTTTGAGCTTTAGGCTACCATGATTTATGCATATTTTTTATATCCTGGAAAATATTGCAAATTAATCCTGCCCTTTTCTAAATAGATAATAATCAAATTGATCAAACAAAATATGACATTTTAGTTCCAGCAGTAAATACAACTTGAACATTTCATAACTGAAATATGTCCACACAAATGGATTATGAACAGTAATATGAGACACTCTCCGGCTTCAATTGCTTTTGGAATATGGCCTAAAATAATTGCTTGTTGCCCCTATAATGCGTTACAATAAAATAAATCTGTTTCATCTTATCTTTAAAATAAACATTGTTTTACCAAATCCTTTCAAAGAAAAAACAGATTAAAACCAAAACAGCAAATAACAGAATTATTTACCTATTAGTTTTTCAGTAAATTTTTCACTTGTGGTGCTCTTTGTTGCTCAGTTGTTGAGCTTTGTATTTTTTTAATACATTGTTATTATGGAGCCTAGGTGGAAGTTCAACGGAATAAACCGATTACTTACCCTCATCCGCCTCTGACACAAGCTAATCAGCTATGAACCACACCTCCACGAAAGCCCAATCAGCATCCAGAGTTCATCTTATAAGGTCTACAGACTACAACTCCATCTGCTACCCAAATAAAAGGTAGTGGTTGCGCTATGATCCACCTCCAGCCCCTTCTCCATCATCGTAGCTAAAGCTTCAGAGAAGAGAGCCATGTTGAGCATGGTTCTGGCAGAGGTTTCTTTCAAATGTCGAGCTTTTCCTCTCCACTGTCGCTTCATGCTTCCTCATCATGGACGGTTTTTCGCAACCTGTGTTATCAAAGCTGGACTTTCATCTTCCAGGTCCCTGAGGGAATCACTAGTATCAGCTCACG